CAAAGTCCACCTGGAAGAAGCACACCAGCCTGTGTGATCGTGAGGTCTTGATGGGATCAGGTATCAAAACCCAGAACAAAATATCATATCAATGTGAATGAAACCCAAAGCCCATCTGTAGACAATTGGACAACCCCTTACAGAAGGGTCACAAGGAAGAGACGAGTCAGTCAGGGTGCAGTATAGCACTGATAAAACATCAAACTTTCCTCTCGTTCTTATTTTTTCCTCCAATTCTTAAATGCTTCCAACCCCCCATTATCGTTACCCGAATTGTACCTTACAAATCCAACTAGACCTGAGTATGTACACTGGTACAGATAAGAACTCACAACACAGGGAATCTAGGACAGATAAACCCCTTCCTTGTCTCTTGCTCTTTGATCATCGCACCAGTGTGCGCTGCCTTGCTTGTTCTGTGCCTCCATTTGCAAGCTACACTACCTGTGGGACACCTAACCCATGGACTATGTCACTGTAATTTGAAGTTCCTTCAAGACCTGCTTCACCACACCATTGGAATTTACATCTCTTGAGCTGGGGGCTGTTGGACCCTGTCATTTGGCTGACTGTTGGTGACCTGCCTTGCTGTTTGCTGCCTGTGCCCAGATAGCCTGAATTGCTCTACAGGACTACCTGGAGGCCCTCAAGACTTGAAGGACTGCCAGTGTCTCACAGCTGTCTCATGGGAGTGAGTTGCACTGAGCCATTTGTACTGCTTTATAATTCAATTAACTGTTTCTTTTGTCATATATCTATCTAGCTGTATATATATGTGTATATATACAGATATATATAAAATTATTAGCATTCTGGTTTTGTTTCACTAGAGAACTCTTTCTAACACAAATGTGCATGTAAGATGGATCTTGGCTGAAAGCAGAGAATACCAGAAAGATGTTTACTTGTATTTTACTGATTATGCCAAGGCATTTGACTGGTCGATCATAACAAACTATGGATAACCTAGAGAAGAATGAGCATCCAGAACCCTTCATTGTGCTCATGTGGAACTTGTACATGGATCAAGAGGCAGTTGTCTGAACGGAACAAGGGGATGCTTCATTGTTTAAAAATCAGCAAATGTGTGTGTCAGGATTGTAAGCTCCCACTGTCCTTATTCCGTCTGTATGCTGAGCAAATAAACTAATCAGACCAGCTGGACTCGATGAAGACCTAATTATTATGATTGGAGGAGGGCATATTAACCTGCAATATGCAGATGACACAACCTTGCTTGCTAAAGTGGGGAGGAACTGAAGCACCTGCTGATGTAGATCAGGGACTGCAGCCTTGCGTGTGGATGACAACTCAATGCCAAGAAGACCCAAATCCTCACAACTGGACCCGGAGGTAACTCACGATACATGGAGAAAATATTGAGATTGTCAAGGAGGTAGTCTTGCTTGGCTCCACAATCAATGCTCATGAAAGCATCAGTCAAAGAGATCAAAAGACAAGTTGCATTAGGTAAATCTGCACACGATCTCTTTAGAGTATCCCACCCCCCTCTGCATTAGCTTATTTATTAAAAGATCATTTCATTGAGGGCTTTATATTATACCAACTGCATCAAGCATATTTGTTCATATGTTGCCATCGTTCCTTTCTAGACATTTACTTTCTATTGAACCCTTGGTATCAGCTCCTCTTTTTCTCTCCCCCACCCCATGTGGCCCCTTGATCGATTTTAAATTGTTATTTTCCTATCTCACACCAACCGCTGTCTCCCTTACCCCATGGTTTCTGTTGTTCTTCCCCCTGGAGGGGTGTGTTTATGTGCCGATCATTGCGATTGGTTCCCTTTCCTCCCCTCCTCTCCCACTATTCCCCCCACTTCTTTAGAGGATTGAAAAGCAAGGCTGCTACCTTGAGGACTAAGGTTCACCTGACCCGAGCCATGGTAGTTTCCATTGCCTCATGTGCACAGAAAAGTTGGTCATTGAATAAAGAAGACCGAAGAATATACGCGTTTGAATGGCGGTGCTGGTGAAGAATACTGAAAAGACTGTGGACTGCTGAAAGAACCAATCTGTCTTGGAAGAAGTAAGGCCAGTGTTCCTTAGAGGCAAGGATGGCACGACTTTGTCTTGCATACTTTGGGCATGGCCCTGAGGAACATCAGGTAGAGGGGCAGTGAAGAAGAGGAAGGCTCTCAAGGACCTGGACTGACCCTGTGGCTGCAATGGGCTCAGACCGAGGCACAGTGGTGAGGATGGCGCAGGACCCAGGCAATGTTTTGTTCTGTTGTGCATAAAGGTTGCTATGGGTTGGAACTGACTCGATGGCACCGGATAGCAACTAAGAACAGAGGGGGCACCCTCAATTTTGGTTTCTAGACTCCCAAGCTGTGAGAGGGTACGTTTCTGTTAGTTAAGTCACCTGCTTGTGGTCTGTCACAGCAGCACCAGAGAACCAAGACCATCAGCTAAGGAAACACCTCATACAGGATTGCTTTTGAAACTGCCTAGCTGGATGGATTGTGGGAGTCTCAGGCATTTTGTTGATTGATAGTGCATCTCTTTGTTGAAGTGGGAATGCTTTCTCCATGCACATACACACGTCAGTCCCCTCTGGAAAACCCCATACAGGATCATGCAGGCCATTCATTGTGTCCTTATGGTCTTGCGGGGGGAATTCTATCATTTTGGTGTCTGTGTATTTTTCAACTAGCAAATGTCTACTGAGCACCAACTATTTGCTAGCTAGGGACTGTTCTAGGCTTTGGGATACAGAGGTGGAAAAAACCCACAAACCCCCTGCTGTAATAGAGGTTATAGTTCTTTGAGGGAGAAAATAACTAAAATACAAGAGGGCTTCTCCCAAAGGTTGTGGGAAAAGGAAGTGGAAAGAGCATATGTAGTATTTTCCGTAACCTCCTGACGTCTCCTTCTCCACAGGACGTTAGGGAGTGATGGGCAGTGAAGGGAGCGGGGACTGTGGTGAGCTGCTAGTCAGTTGGCTCGACTCATGGAGACCCACATACAATGGAACGACCGCCACCCAGTTGGTTGCAGAATGGGTGGTTGTGACCCATAACGTTTTCACTGGCTGCTTTTGGAAATAGATTGCCAGGCCATTTTTCCTTGTCCTCTTTCACCTGGAAGCTCTGCTGAAACTTATTCAGCAGGTCGGCAACATGCACATCTACACAGATGGGTGGTGGGAGTTCTCGGTTTGGTGTGAATCTTGGATTCAAGTTCACCTCATACTTGTGTCTATTGTGTATCTTCGGGTCCTGGACTTGTGGGAGGCGCCTCTCTCTCTGTGATCTATAAAACTCTTGTCAGGCGCACCATCAGCTGGGGCTGGGGTCTCTCAGCTATGGGTGGTCATCCTTCGGGTGGTGTCTCTGCCTTCTGAGGGCCCCTGCCCCCAGTAAAGGCTCTACCCCCTTAGTGATAGGACTTTTTCTCTGCATAGCAAGAATCAGAATACATCAAAATGTATTTTATTTGAGACACAAAAATGCAAAATTGCTGAGATATCAAACATTTCCTGATCAGCGACAATACTGCCATTATGTACAAAAGGTCTGATGATAAATGGGTACACATATAAAAATACATATGCATTACTTATGTACAGTACATGTGCAAAATGTATGGCATTTCAGACATGATATGGAATTGATCTCGGGTGCAAACAGCAAACACAAAGGCATCGTGGTCTTTCCTTCAAGAACCACATAAAGGCAATCCACGGCCGGCCCGACCGCCCCAGGTTTGTGTGGGCTGATTTTTCTTTCTCTTTTTTAAGCTAGTGCTTCGACAAGCAGGGCTCGGTAGACTGGTACCTTTCTCTGTTTTTCATAAAGTGAGATGCTAAGACATAATGCGACCATGAAAAGAAGAGAAACCCCAATTACGTCAAGCATGGCTGTTGCAAGCAAGAAAAGGACAAAACAAATTTCTACAGAGAAATGAAAAATAACACAACTTTGTATTTCTACTAAGTATGTATTATCCTAAAACCAACAAATCTATGCTATTTTACATGAAAACAAGAGAAATATCTACATCTTTGTGAAAATTAAATCTTAAGTGGGTAATACCTTTTTGGGACTAATTTTTTGAGATACCATTGATCTCAACTTTTAAATAAAAAGTGTCTCCTTTTGGCAAATACTTGGCAATGCCTTTGGTTCCTTTAAAGCACGTTTTGCATCACTGTTGGTTACTAGACAGTTAAGTACTTTGGGTAGATAAGAAATCCTTTCTTACCTAAATGCAACCTCCTCCTCTTCCTCTCTGAATTATCAAGTGTTCTTACTGCATAGTGTGGACAGGTAATTGTTCCATGAGTTTCCGCGACTCCATACACTGTATCAAAGTCTTGGGTTGGCATAAAGCTCTGTTCCACACTACAGCTACCTTGGTATCTCCCTCCAATAACATGTTTCATTTGACTTTCGACAGCACCGTGAAGATCTGAGATCGCCACCTGTGGTCACAAATTGTGACACCTTTTTCCAATGATGGTTCACAGAGCAAAGCTTGGATCTGGAGCTCCTTTGTAAACATGTGCAGCTTTTTGAACGACAAGCCTTTTTGATGATGCCCTTCCTCAGGCACTGGGAGAAACGGGGTGGGGTGGGAGTGGGGCACGGGCCTGCCTATGAGGTGCAGTCCAGAATGAGGGTTCAATGAACACGTATTGAAGGCTTAAGCCAGGAAGAAATGTTTACATGTTATTGTTCACTTCCAGTTTTGACTGAAATCACCTCAACGATTTGCTGAAATGCAGGCTAAGGAAGCTCTCCACATATACTGGCAGGCTCTGCTGATAACACTGACTTTCCAGTCGGCCCTCACTGATCATTGGAGGCTCAATGTGGGACCTCTCTGCCAGGGGGTAGGGTGTTCATCTTTCACCATATTTGTGAAGGTGACTGAACTGCCTAGTGTTGCCTTGGTGGCAGGCACACCTGGATTAGCAATTCTCTTTAGAAAGTCCCTGGGGCTGCCCAAGACCCCCCACCCTCCCGATGCCTGACCCTTCTGGGAAGCTTCCCACAAGTGAGGGCTCCCCCAAATTTACAAAGCTGTCTAAGTGTCCATCTGAGGACACAGGGCAGGGGCTGTCTTACCACTTGTGGGGCCTGCTGCCATGTCAGCTGTAGTGGTGGGCTCAGCCTGCAGTCAGCCCTAAGAGGACCGGGAGGGCCCGAGTGAAGGCAGACAAAGTCCACGTCAGCCAGGTGACCATGGACGAGCAGGCATGTCCATGCCATGTCCACGCCCCGCGGAGCTCTGCGGCACCATTCATAGCCAGGCATGTTGGCGAACTGCTCTCAGCAACCAGGCAAGTGCCTGTTCCGTGGCCACAGAGCTGTGCAGTCCTCAGAAGGAAATTCCCACCAGCCTTTTGGTCTGATGAAAATAGACTATCTGACCACTAAGGAGTTCTGCAAACGTAGGATACATCTGTGGCAGGTCTTACACACTGGCTTACACATTTCAGGAAGAACCCCAGGACTATGAGCCACCAAACTTCAGGCAGGTGGGTTTCCTAGCAGGTGCTTTGCTGAAATGTACAAGGTAACCACATTCCCTCCGCTTCCAAAGACTTTGTAGAAACTGTAGTCTTACTTGTTCCTCATACCACCCCCACTTCTGTGATCTGATACCTCCAGAATGCAGACCACCGAGGGCGCCATGATTGTGTCTCAGGTAGAAAAGGAACTAGGGCTGGGGTGTGCGAGATGGCATTTTTAGGACTTAGCTTTTTCTTGGCAATGTAAGATGTTCTGCGATCAACTGTACATCAGTGCTACTCCTGAACTACATACGTGCAACCTGAAAACTCCCGCGGCTGCTTTGACCTGAAATTTATTTGCTAGGTGTGAGGCTAACCTCAGACAGACAAACCATTTTCTTTAGTGGACACTGCACTTCGTAAGCACAGAGGGCGCTCGAGGGACGTGGATCAGTGTCATCTTTGGTGGTACCCTTTGCTGCATATTTTCCACATATTCATCTAAACTGGAGCATGCAGTCAACACCCCAGAGAGGAGTACAGACATCTGAGCCAGGCGGTGAGGGCCACGAGAGATGGTACAAGTGGGAGGCTTTAGAGTTCACCACACACACACAGGTTTGAACACATGCGTGAAGTGGGCACTTTAGCAGCTGGGAGCCCAGAGAGAACAGCGACTGAGCTAGAATTCCTTGCCTCCCTGTGATGTGTTTCAAACCTGGGTTTAAAAGCAATAAAAAGGCCTACAGGCTAGAAAATGATCTATGTATACATGCGGGCTTATGGAATAGAAAGCAATTCGATAGGAGTTAATAACACAGCTGTTCAGTTGTCCCCAATAGTCCTGGTGCTAACTAGTGTTAACTTAGAGCCATTCAGATCTGCATGAAAGTGATGCTCAGAGGGAGAGATGGGCCTGAAAAACTCCTGACCCCAATCCTTAGCCCCAGCCCTCTGGAAGTACTTTTCCAGCCAACATTGCTGCCCTGGGAGGCAGGAGCCCTTCCTGACACCTGCGGCCAGGGTTCTGGTACAGCCCAATGCTGAGCACTCTGGTCGTGCTTGGACCTCATGCATCACACTGCCACTTTCCCAGGACTTAGCCTCGTCCTTACAGGCTGCACTGACCAGGACAGCCTCTGCCTCCCACGGGCCCACTTTCAGAGCTTCCAGGTTAGCACGTGTTGGCCAGGAGAGGGTTCCAGTGCTCCAGTGCTGAACAGACTGCTCTTCCGTGGAGCAAATGCCTGAGCTTACCCCAAACACCCAAATACACAGAAGCTCTGTTCTTAGGCAAGACACAGGTCTAGAAATGGTTACAAAATTCATACCCAATAGTGGGCCTGGCCACCTTCCTGCAGGTTATTAGAGGCACCTAACCAGGGTGCTCCCCCTGACCCCAGGGTTTACACAGGTGGAAACGGAAGACCCACCATTATGCAATACAAAATCAATCCCAGACTGGTAGAGTTGTTTTTTTCTTTTTCAGTTCTATTTTGTTATGTATATACGTGATGAGCCTGAATTTGGAAATTCTACAATAGTTGCCATTTTAGAAAAGTCTTCCACTACTCAGCAAATATGTCGTAACTCTTTTTTCAATGGTAAACAAAACAAACAAAACAATACCAAACCAAACAAAAACCTATGAATAAAGCCTCCAGTTTTACAAGTTTAGGCTTGATAATGTAGTAAGAGTATAGGCTTGACACCCAGGCACACACCTGTCAGATAGTAGTAATCCATGGTCAGCCTGAAGAGGAGGAAGAGGAGGAGGAGGAGGAGGAAGGCCAGAGTGGGTCTGGCAGCCGTCCTGCTGTGAGAACCTGTGCCCACACACACTGCACAGGCCTGGCAGGGACCACAGACTTTGCCCCTGCTGGCTACAGTTCCCCAGCCCAGGAAGAGGCATACTGCTAAAGCCTTTTTTGGTTCTTTGAGATGGGTCTGGTTTCCTGAAAGTCAGCAAACAAGTCTTTAAATAAGGAGAGACATGTGGCTCAAGTCCTCCAGAAATGTTTTGAGTTATTCGGAGGAGTGGGATGAACGAAAACCCATTTCCTTACCCCAAGGTAGGCTGTACAAATCACAAAGTCAAATTGCACGTACAAATGTCGAATATACACAGGAAACCCAATCTAACCAGCACAGGGGGTGGTGGACAGGGTTTTCAGTGTTAGTGATATGGCCGGTCTTTCCACAGCAGTGGACACTGCTTATGACTGTGTTTTGTAGACACCCACTGCCTATAGTGAAAGATCTTCCATTTAGATTTAAATTTGGGAATCTAAGTCAAGATTCCCCAAAGTCACAACACCAACTCACTCACTCACTCACTCGCTCACTCACTCAGGTTTCTAAAGGGAACCCAAAGTCTACAGTTGGATGCATCTTCTCACTGAACTGGCGGAAGCTCTACGGCCTCTCACCCTGCTGGGTCCGGGGCTCGGTTCAGGCCACCTCTAGGAAATTTTCAAGGATCGTGACCTCCCTCTCTCTCACAGGCAGCCTTGGGGTCCCAGTGGAGAGCTGCCTGTCTTTTGTAAAGTGGAGTTGGTTACCAGAGAATTCGAATGGCATTTTCCTGTGTATGTTCCCCTTTTCATCTTGACTGAAGTTGGGAGCAGGAGAGGATGTTCAGTGATGAGTGTATTCCAGGGGCCTTCCATGATGTGGAATCTTAGAAGTTCACTGCCAAGTCTGATGCCACATTTTCAGACTTGTTTCCAGGTCATGACCTCCTACCCATCTTTTGGGGACAACACATTTTAACTGCAAAGGTGCAACTATGGCTGTATGGCTAAACATGAACCTGGGACAACCATCCCATGTTCTTAAACCACGGGAAACTCTGAGTTCCAGCATCCGTGACGTTAGTCCCAGGGCAGCGGCAGGTCCTGTGGGTCCAGAAAGTCAGCAGAAAACATACTTGGAGCAGTGGCACCGAGAGGGGTGAGTCCTGATGACGTGGCAGGCATGGTGACGTCCAACCATTCCATATTGTCCAAGTTTGTGTCAGAAAGGTCAAGTGACAGGCAGGGAGTATTTGCAGCAAATTGGACCTCGGAAGTTTCCATGGGTGAGTGGGAGTGGTCCAGCACGCTGGAGTTGATCAGCAGATCACTGTGGAGGTCCTCGATCAGGGAGAAGGGCTCTCTGTCTTCAATGCTGCTTGGCAGAGGGCTGATCTCATTGGCTGAAGGCAAAGTTCCATCCAAGAAGGCTTCTAGCTGGTTCTCTAAACTGGTGGAGAAGCTGCTCACGGGCTCTAAGGAGACCGGCGGTGCCATCTGGACTTGGGGCGGTGGCCGGGACACCACGGTACTGACTGGCATTGTGGTGATGCTGGCTGTCACTGGTCTCATTTTGGAAATAGGAGAAGGTTCTTCTTTGACAGGGAGAGAAATCTCTGTGTGAAATAACAGGAGGAAGCCGTAAGTACAGATTTCTGACTCCTAAACAATAATTATTAGCCACTAAGATGACTCATTATTTTACACACAGTCCATCTCAGATAAAGGGCGAGGATGGTTTGGTGTAATCCTTGGTAACCTTTAAAAGGTCAGATCATTTAAGCTAAACACATGTAAGTCTATAACATTCTAATTTGTTTTTACTTATTTGTAATCAGACTAAGCATTTGTTTTAGCCCACTAATGCTTTAACTCTTGGACCTTTTTAATTTTTAATGAAGAACAAAATTCCCTTTGTTGACTCTCGGCGTGCCGTTTGGATTGTGCACAACGTTCCCTTCCCTCTTCCCCGATCATGGCACAGGGATGTGCCAAGTGGGTGACACTGGAACTGCTGCGCTGATGTAGACCTGAGAGCGGAGGAAGCTGGCACCACCAGAATGAAAGGCATGGCTGCAGGTCTAGTGGCAACCTCTACTGAAATAATGGGCCCCAAACTTAACTACACCGTGTCCCTCTTCACGAGCCAAAAGATCCTCCTGTCTTTGAAGCATCAGAAAGCACAGTACTGAGGTGGTTTCCAGTCATTGCAAACCAGTCCTCTTGGTGACAAATGCTTATGTGGGGTGGCTTAGGGATTGGAGAATTTTAAGGTGAGAGGAGTTTGTGCAACAGGTAATCAAATGACATTTTTAATTTTTTTAGGTGATGTGGTTTCACCTGCTTATTTGTCTTTTTTTTGTCCTACTCCTTGAATATATAGGAAAGCACAGGATTTGGGAAACGTCTCACTAAACACTAGTTATGTGTTATTTCTCACCATATCTCACTGCTCTCAAGTTGAGTTTGACTCCCTGCCGCCCTACAGGACAGGCTGGAACTTCCCTGGGGAGCTTCTGAGACTGTACTTGTTTATGGGATTGGAACTGTGCAGAAGAGCCCAACTTGTAGCCACTATGCCATCAGGTCATCTGGTCCCAGTACCAGGATTTACTTAGCTATGTATACTTAAGATGTCCTGAGTGCTTGCGTGGCTTTATTTATATGGCTACTTCCACTGTGCATACACACCAGGAAAGATGGATTGAGCGACAGCTCTGAAAGTTCAGCAGTGACTGGGATGGGTAGGTAGGTCAGAGAAAGAACATACGGCTATATCCTATATGGGAAATGGCCACTCTGTAGAAGGTATGATCTTTAGCGCACTTTAGGCTATTTTCCAGTTAATCTGCAGTCATCTTTAGAAATCCTTTGGTGGCTCTAAGTGCCATCCAAATGCCTACTCCTTTAATCAGGTACTTCAATCTCAATTTTCCTAATCACTTTTGACAACAGACAGTCACTGCATCCAAACTCACTGCCGTTGAGTCCGTTTGGCTCATGGCAACCACAGGGCCGGGCGGAACACTGCCTGTGGGTTCCGGAGATTTTAACTCTCATTAGTAGTAGAAAGCTCCGTCTTTCTCCTGCAGAGCGGCTGGTGGTTTTGAACTGCTGACCTTACGGTTAACAGTCCAACTTGTAACCACTATGACACCAGGGGTCCTAGTCACTGGACACTTTGCCACAAAAAAGATACACTCCTTTTAACAAAAGTAACTAAAAATGAATTAATTTACCACGTTTTTCAAGCTTACACTGGGAAAATGCCCTCAAATATAGGCATGAAATATCAGTTTCTTTAATTTCCATGGCCTTAAGCTAGTGTTCACAGTCAATATAATTCTTACCAAACCAACCAAACAACCAACCAACCACCAACAAATAAAAATGCTGCAGTTGTGCGTGTGTTGTGCAGTACCGAGAGTTCCCTATGCTACGCCAAGCATCACACCCAGAACACAGGCCTCAGGATTGGAGACATTTCCACTACTATTTAAAAATTCAAATAAAATTCTGTTCAGCAAGGGAATAGAAGAATATGTTAAAATATTCCAAAACAGTACTTCAATTTTTTAAAATACTAGCTTTTTACTCACTTTGAAAGAGGTCACCACTGTCTAGATTTGGGTGATTGGTCCTTTTTATCGATGCCCTGTTTTCCTCTATCTGTTTTTAAGATGAAATATTGTAGAGCCTATGATTTTATATTTTATGTAGAAAGTATTTTTGCCTGACTCTTGAACTTTAACAGCCCTGGTGGCATAGTGGTAATGAGTTGGGCTCCTAACTACAAGGTCAACAGTTCAAAAACTGCCAGCCACCCCTCGGGAGAAAGTTAGGGCTTTCTGCTCCAATCTCGGAGACTCCGAGTGCCCTGTCCACGGCTCACTGAGAGTCAGCACTGCTGGATGGCAGCCAGTCTGCAGTCTGAACTTTGAAAGTACTGCACATCCCAAGCTAGGTAAGTGGCTTGGCATGGAATGCATGCGGTTTCTAAAGGCACACGGAACACGTTTTGAGTCAATGTGTTCAGTGTGGAATTTAAATCGCGTCTACTCTGCTACTGTCCGGTAGGGTTGCTTTGAGTGGACACTGACTCAATGGCAGTCAGTGTGGTTTTCTGCTATTTTGATACGTTTTTTTCTCTCCACAAGAATATACCTATGGGTATTTCTAATGATCTATTACTGTTTTGAGCTCTTCCCCCACTTAATATGTATACTAAGTTACATGAATGGCCTAAATTTAACAGATTTAAAAACCATACTTTTAGCCAGATCTGGATTATGTTTCTCAGAATCCAGAGACAAGAGAAACAAATCCCCATGTATGTGTTGGGGATCACTCCCCACGAGGTCTGCTGTGGTTCTGACCTACCTCCGCTCTTGATGAGGATGTCAAAGAGGTCGTCCATCTGCTGACTGTGCGCGCTGGAAATCTAGGAGGAGAAGGTGGTCAGTTAGTCCTCGCTGGTCTAATCCCGGAGCCACGGAGGCCACCTCAACTACGTGAAGTAACTAAGCCAAGGCATCGCTGCCAGTTAGTGGAAGCACGGAGAGGCCTATTATGGAGCTGGGCGGACTTCTTTCATCTCCAGCACGGTTCTCTTTCACTGCTTGCATTTTAAAAGCCTTCTAGTTCTTAAAAAAAAAACACATGAGGACCTAATGTCGGGGGTTTAAGTGGAGAGAAAATGTTTTGAGAATGATGTACAAATGCGCTTTACACAATTGATGTGTGTATGGATTGCGATAACAGTTGTGAGCCCCTAATAAAATGTTTAAAAAACAAACAAACAAAAAAACAAAACAAAAAACCAACACAGGTGAACATTTGGGTGTACAGACCTGAGCAGACTAGACATATTTTTCAGCTTGATAGTTCCTGACATATAATACACTAATGGGAGCTTCACAAAGTTTGGGAAGAAAATGGAAGGTAAAATACTGGAAGTTTTACATGGGCTTTTTGAAATGCCCTCATACACACACAGTAGGTTTCAAAAAGTTTGCAGATGTTTTCCACCTTTTAATTTCATTCTGGACAAGCATTTGCTCACCCCCACACCCCCACCCCACCTACACACACAAGCACACAACCGAGTAAGTTACAGACATACAGCCATGATATTTTCATTACAATCCAGGAAACGGTCATTTCCATCATGTCCCTTTGTAACAATACTGATTTCTCTTTCACTGTAGGCTCATCTGCATTTCCTAGAGTACATTTCAAGAAGAACTGATGCGTCTGAATTGTGGTCCTAGCAAAAAGACCATAAACTGTCAAAAGAACAAACAGATCTGTCTTGGAAGAAGTATAGCCAGAGTGCTCCTTAGAGACCAGGCTGGCGAGACACTTAGTCTCATGCCCTTTGGACGTTGTCAGGAGAGGGCAGTCCCCGGAGCAGGGCATCGGCTTGGTACAGTGGAGGGCGGCGACAAAGAGGAAGCCCTCGGGGAGAGGGGCGGACGCCGTGGCTGCCACAAGGGGCTGACCTAAGAACAACCTCGAGGATGGTACAGGGCTGGGCAGGGTTTTGTCCCGCGGTACAAGTGTATGAGTGGTTTTCTCGCTTCAAAAACTGACAAACCTCATTCTGGACGTCTGTCTGCTTCCTGAATGGATGAAAATGTTGACTTGTAGTGCATTTGGAGTTGGCTCCACCAGGTCTGACTGTTAATTAAACTTTCCATTTAGAGATTCTGAAAAGATTGTGTAATAGGTGTGCAAAAAAAGGCCTGATTTGTGGCAGATGGGACTGGTTTTGCCACCAACACAATGCACCTGCTCATGCAGTCATCTCAGTGGGCCAGTTTTTGGCAAAAAACAGCATGTCTCTCTTGCCCCATGCACCTTACTCACCTGACCTCACTCCATGGGACTTCATTTTTGTTTCCATGAATGAAGAGGGACATGAAAGGACAATGATCTGACTATGTAGAAGAGGTGAAGAAAAAAGCGAGGGAGGTTCTGTCAGCCAGCCAAACAGATGAGTTTGAAAAATGTTTTCACGGATGGAACTGCAGATTTGACAAATGTATTTAGTGTAATGGAGAGTACTCTGAAAGTGATAAAGTTGTTTTGTAAGAAAAATTTAAATACAATGCTTTACGAGAAACCCCCCCACAAAAAAGCCTCTTTTTTGGGTGGGGAGGGGTACCCCCTCGTATTTCTCTAGTGTTACTGTTTCTATTATAGGTCGGTCTATTGTTTGGCTAAAGATTGAGCCATTGGGTTGATCTGAAGGGTGACTTGGAGGTTCTACCGGTTTTTATTTGACCATTAAGACTGGCCTTTTTTGCGGGTGCATAAGCAAATGTGGTGAAGAAAGCTGATGGAGCCCAGATATCAAAAGATATAGCGGACACAATTGATGTATGTATGGATTATGAGAAGAGTTGTATGAACTCCTAATAAAATGATTGGAAAAAAAAGATATAGCGTCTGGGGTCTTAAAGGCTTGAAGGTAAACAAGTGGTTGTCTAGCTCAGAAGCAACAAAGCCCACATGGAAGAAGCACACCAGCCTGTGTGATCATGAGGTGTTGAAGGGATCAGGTATCAGGCATCATCAAAACAAAAAATCAAATCATTGTGAATGAGGGGGAGTGTGGAGTGGGGAACCCAAAGCCCATCTGTAGGCAACTGGATACCCCCTTCCGAAGGATCGCAGGGAGGAGGCGAGCCAGCCAGGGTGCAGTGTCCCAACGATGAAACATACAACTGTCCTCTAGTTCCTAAATGCTTCCTCCCCCGCACTATCATGATCCCAATTCTACCTTACAAATGTGGCAAGACCAGAGGGTGTACACTGGTACAGATAGGCACTGGAAACACAGGGAATCCAGAACGGATGATCCCTCCAGGACCAGTGGTGAGAGTGGCGGGAGGGTGGAGGGAGGGTGGGGTGGAGAGGGGGAACCGATTACAGGGATCTACATATAACCCCCTCCCTGGGGGACGGACAACAGAAAAGTGGGTGAAGGGAGATGTTGGAGAGTGTAACATATGACAAAATAATAATGTATAAATTATCAAGGGTTCATAAGGGAGTGGGGGGGAGGGGTTAAAAATGAGGAGCCGATGCCAGGGGTTTACGTGGAGAGTGGGTGTTTTGAGAATGATGAGGGTAACGAATGTACAAATGTGCTTTATACAATTGATGTATGTATGGACTGCGTTAAGAGTTGTATGAGCCCCAATAAAATGATTTAAAAAAAATGACTGGCCTTTTCTATGATTTTGAGTTTTGTTCCACTTTTTATAACCCATTCTGCCCAGGGCCTTCTGATGTGATCCCACTGAGCAGGAGACGGGTACCAGCTAGTCCTTGTAGTTGCAAGGTCAGGGCGGTGGATGTTCCCAGGGTCCATGTGGCTGCTGGACTGGCGGGTTTCGTGTTCCTCCAGACAGGGAAGGCACATACTTGGACCTTGGATGGCTGCTTTCGAGACCCAGTTGCTACTCGCCAGAGTAGTACTAGACCATTGTCTTTGAGGACAATGTTATTAGGCTAGTATTTTTAAAAATAAAAACTGTAAAAACTTATTTTCCCATTTCTATACATAGGCACTGTTATTCCTATTTTATCAGTGAGACAATGACGGCCCAGAGAGTCAGCACTGGCCTGAGATTACCTGGTTTTAGCTGGTGGCTAGCAGCCCACGGAGGGTTTCCAATCTGTCCCTTCAAAGAGCGTTTGCTAAACATATGAGTGAGCCCCTGAGCTGGGCTTGTCTGGTGGTGGCAGAGTGCTAGGGACTCAAGAAGACTGAAGCAGGGGGGTAGGGCTAGAGGGTGGGGTGTCTAGAATGCCAGCCAGGTTGAAGAGTGTCATTTTGACAACAGCTTCATAGAAAACAGACCTGTATACCGTAAGGAATCACACCTATCCCGAACACATCCATTCCCCTCTGCACAGGACAAATTAGAAGACAACACCTGAGCTTCGGATTCATAGTGATAGCAGATTATACAGCTGTAGAAAGCGGTTTAGTCTTCATAACGAATGACGCTTTGATTTTAAATGACCACCTAAGGTGTAAACACAGGAGCCCTGGTGGCACAGTGGTTATGCACTGGGCTGCTAACCGTGAGGTCAGCAGTTCAAAGCCACCATCTGCGCTGTGGGAGAAAGACAAGGGTTCCTATCTCTGTAAAGAGTTAAAGTCTCAGAAACCCACAGGGGCAGTTCCACTCTGTCCTAAGCGTCATTATGAGCTGGAATCGACTTGATGGCAGTGAGTTTGGTTTGACTTTGAAGATGTAAACAAAGGTCCTGCCACAAAATGTGGGTTTTTGTGGAGGAAAGTCAGTCTCAGACAGGGCCTCGGTATGCATTTGGTTAAGCTTGGAGGATGACACATGACATAAAAGCCTTTGTTAGCCTGCCATGTCTGCACATCACCGACGAGCCATGCCTGCTGAGCTTATTCACCTCGGGGAGGGAGTGGGAGCCTCATGAGACGCAGCACTGATCCCACTCACCTCTGGGGCGGAGGGCTGGGCGCTGCGCGTCTGCCGGACAGCCTCTTCGTAACGAGGGGGGTCTCTTGTCTTGGTGACGGGGCTGCCAAACAGGGCATGCTGGACAACAAACTGCTGAGGTGGCGGTGGTGAGCTGGGCTGTAGTGAAGATGGAGTACATTAGCCTTTGACAATAAGCTTTCTGGTGCCCTGACTGGACCCCACTCTGCTGTTGTCTAGTCTTGCTTTTAAACACTAGTGACCATGCCATGTGGGAAGGATTCTCCTCATGGGAAAAACAGCGGTTATGGAGGTTTTTGGGCTTTGCTGCCCAAGCAACGCTGCTGCCCTCTCACTCCCTAGGCTTTGGAGGCAGCCCATCTCCATGTAAGCATTCTCGCTGTACACAGGTGTCTGGGCGGTACCTTGCTGGGAGGGCTGGGTCCATTGTGCACTGCTGGACGTGGAGCGTTTCTGCTGGGCGCCTTGGTAATGAAAGGCTGCTGGGCCGAGGGAGCAGGCTGCCTCTGGAACGGGAGGGCTGTAGTTGGTGCTGAGCTTGTGAAAACCTGAAATGAATAAACAGTTCCCCATCACTTTGTTCTGGTAACAAAACAAACAAAGTTTTGAGTTGGGAGCGGGTGGCAGACTTTTGGTAAATGTTTTTGACTTTGAGGGTCATGTGGTCTCTGTTTCAATCACTCTACTCTGTTGTCGCCGTGGACAATATGCCAATATGTCTTCCAATAAAACTTTACTGAGAGAGACATTGCTCAGGCTCTGAGCCTGAGGAGTCCCGCAGCCTCGTCTGGGGCAGGGCTCTGCGAGGACACAGCGCTCGCCGAGTGACCGCAGCAGCGTTCCTGTTCTCCCTCTTTGTGATGATCTCACCCATGGTCCCACTTTCTTTCTTTTCTCCTCCTGCTTTAACATTTTATCTTCATTTCAGTGCGTTCCACAGCAACTCGTTTCTGTTTTACAATGTCGATAGCGTTGGCTCAGCGACACTGCTGTGTTGCCCACGGTGTGGTACCCTTCTGATTTCCATCCTGGCGGTCCGTTTTTTAAAAAGCACAGTTTCATGCTTTAATTTTCAGGGTGAAGTGAATAAGGCTCAAACCCACCATTCTAATCTGCTTTCTGAATCTTGCCCCCAAATGCAAAAGGTTAAAAACCGAATGGAAGGCAGACTCTGGAATGATTTCCCCTCAAGGGTGAAGGTGAAATGGCGCACCACACACCTCCGCATTCTCCCTGGCACAGCTCGGACCGAGCACTCGCTGGAATCACCCTGGCCCGGGCCGTTATCCTCCCACGCAAGGCCTTTGTTTCTAACACTGGCACGCAGCCACAGGCCACCTCTGAATCCTTGCCGATGGTCCTGACACAAGAATGATTCTTGTCACCACAGTCCTGCCACACTCCATGCCTGGTCTTCAGGGTAGAACGCAAGCTTGCGTGTCAACAACCGTTCTATGACCTGCTGGACACGTGCTGTCCAACAGAACTCCCCACAGGTTCTTGGATTGCTTGCAAGGCCCCATTTACAAGCCCCCCCTTCTGGGATGCTGCTCTATTAAGCAGAGGTGGGGATTCCTGTGAGACACCAAGATGCTCTTCCGGCTGCCCAAAGGGCTGACGGCTGACCTTTTACAAATAGAGAGCCACACCTCTGCTGTTGCAGCTGCATGTCGCAGCGCTTGGTGGGTTCGGGAAAGTACTGAGCTTCCTGTGCATCGCTAGTACGGAGCCCTGCAGGGCAGTGACTAGGCGGTCTGCTGAGGACGAGAGGTGGGAGTCCACCTGCCACTCCGTGGGAGAAAGCTGCAGCAGCCTGTTTCTGTAAAGATTACAGCCGTGGACATCTTCAGGGTGGTTCTCTTCTGGGGTCCCTGTGAGCAAGGTGGACACTTGCCAGGACGGACTGCATTGACACAGCGGCTGCAACAGTGGCTCGGCCGTCACTACGGGTTTCACTCTGCCGTGCGCTGATCTCTAGGAGTCGGAACCGACTCGATGGCACCTAGCAACACCAACGGTGTGAGCTAAGAACCGGCTCAGCAGCCGCGAGTGTGGTTTTCATACCATTCATGTTCCCTCTCTGTACAACTTTTTCATAGTCTGGATGCTTTTATAGAGAACATGCATGAAACTAGGTGTGAATATGTGTACTCTCTAACAGTACAGCCTCTCTAAATATTGACTTCCATTTCCTTGTATTTCATTTAAAAATTACTCCCCTTCATATTATATGCTGTTACCGTTTCAATGAATCATGAACATGTCTTCCACAGACACGGGTGAAAGCTCCCTACTGAAACAGCCCTGCAGCTGGGCCACAGGGTGCTGGTAACAAGGACACTTAAATCAGGGTAAGTACCAGCAGAGGTTAAAGCACAGAGCCTGGCGAATGCATGCCAGGGACATGCAAGGGGAAAGACTGGCCAAGGGGCCATCGTCAGAGCAGACCTGAAACCCAAACGCACACAGGGAAGACTGGTCCTCAGAGTCCGTTGCTGGGGCTTTAGCGGCACCTCTAATCGCTCATGAGCACTTGGAGTAGAAAAGATTTTGGAAACATTTTTGTATTCTTATCAAGTCCCTCGATTTCTGTTTTTTTTCCTTTCTACTCCACCTAATCTTTCACCTTAGCCGTCTCATCACATTCTCTTACCATCTCCTCATTACTCGCATGCATATCATGAATGGCCTCCTTCTATTCCGTAAGGAACCCAGCCAGGCTTTCACTGGTTTTGCCTTTTGCTTTTCTGGGGACATCATCCTCAGGTGGATGCTTTGCTGCAGTCCTTGTTTTGCTCTCTGGCCTTCTGTCTTCTTTTGTCTTTCCCCACCCTCCCCCCGCCGTCCCTCTCTTCTCTCTCCCCTCTATACTTCAGCACTTCCTCATTGTCTTTCCCTTAACTTCTGTCTTCTCATCCCAAAACTTTTCCTTGTCTTCTGGAATAGCATGTACTCCTGCCTTTCCCTTCAGCGGGGGCTGCTCTTCATCTCCACCTTTCCCTGGTGTCAGGCTTTCCTTCACTTTTGCTGTAGCGTTTTTCCATGTTGAGATTCTCTACCTGATTCCTGTCCTGTAGGGTTTCTGAACACACCTCGCTTCTTTCTCTAGCCTCACAGAGTCCTGGGAGCAACAGATTCACTGACCGGTGAGATGTACCAGGCTGGCGCCTCTTGGGCTCCCTGCAGCCTGTTCCTAGCCCAAGCTGTGCAGGGAACTGGTGCTGCTGGTGCTGGACCAGAGTTCTGCAAGCGCGAGCTCACAGACTAGTGCCCACATCCCAGCCAGGTCTGTTTCATCAGCACCTTGGGTCACATCTGGGCAGTGCCCCTGCCCCCAGCTCTGCCCATCTCAACCCTACCCCCCAAATTTTACTTCCTTTCTTAAGTAATAACTCTGAATTCTGGAATCTTGAGACTTAGTGAATAAGCCCATATTCACTGTCGATATAACATTGGTTTTCTCTCTCCTCCCTAGGACCAGGAAAACTTTTAGACAATTGAACATTTACTAAACTTATACTACACGAAAATTACATTTTGAGTTGTTCAAATGAATCAATTCCTCGTGGTGGTTCCTCTCTCTCAGGAGACTGTGAAAGAGCGGGTATGGTCCCTCACTTCCGCCCACTGCCACTGCCCTGAAGCTGTGTCTATCGGGGCCTGAACGCATCTTACCCCAGCAGGCTATCTGACCCTGACACCGAACGGTGCACCTGGTTATCTAGGTTCCATCATGCCTTACCGTTTTTCTGCCAAGGAGATGTGCCCACAGCTCCACCTACTGGATACAGGGGAAGTTTGGTAACTTTCATTTTTTTTAACCAAACCCAAACCAAACCAACTGCTGTTGAATTAATTCTGACGCATATTGACTTTACAGGACAGAACTGGAATCTCCAAGGTTGTCAGCCTTTACAAGATGGGCCATTTCATTTTTCTGTAGTGAAAGCGACTGGTGGAGTTGAATTGCTGACCTTGTGGTTAGTAGTCGAACAAGTAACTTGCTATGCCACCAGTCTCGGTTATATAACAGAAAATTGCCCACAGAATGGAGTCCCTGGTGGGCTTAGTGAATGCACCTGGTGTGTTGGCAGTTTGAGTCCAAAGGAGAAAGACTCACCGCCTGCTTCCGTAAAGATACAGTCCACCCCAAAGGAGGGCCTGGCTATATACTTTGGGAAATCACCACTGAAAACCCTGCGGTGCACAGTTCTACTGTGACACACACAGGGGCCGTCAGGTGTGAGCACTGCCTCTTTGGCAATGACTTTGTACAGAGGAGACGGGGCTAGAGCACCACCTTCATTTTTAAAATGAGGGCACGGACTGAGAAAACAAGGGCTCAAGGCTACATTTCTAGGAAAACAGTGAGCCTGAGGAATAACCAGACCTAGCTCTGCTGGCTGCTGGTTCTTAGGTGGGTACACACAAGCATGTGTAGATTCTGACTCATGGTGGTCCCAAGGAACTCAGGAGAGCGGAGAGGGGCTCAAGGTTTCCGAGAGGAAATATTTAAAGGGGCAGACAGCACCACCTTCCCCGTGCAGGGTCACTGCTGAGGCTGAACCCTCGAACTGCAATTAGCAGCACAGGGCTTCCTCCACTGTGTCACCAGGACGTCTTCCCTTTCTGCTTATGGAAAAATGCCACAATCTCTTAATTCCATTTCAGTATATGAAGATTTAAATATTACTTTGAAAGTTTCTCTTTTGAAAAGGAATTCACTGTTGGGATAAGCTCTCTTTTTCTAAGAAAGCTCTTTCCACTCCAGGGGTCAAGGATAAACAGCCTTAGGCTCATTCCCCAAGGTTGACTGTTGACAACCCCCTCTCTCGACCGCCCCCCCCAGGGGCATATCGCCCTACAGCAGTCCTCAAAGAGAGGCTGTAGGTGGGCTAGAACAGGCAGCTCACAGACCTTCGGGACTTGCTGAGGTTGGCTGAGCACATGCTGAGGGAAAGCATCCTGCTGAAGTGCAGGTGGGGCCAGGCCTGATGACAAGGCAGCGGTAGGTAATTGTGGAGCAGTGGCTGGCTGAGGCTGAGGCTGGAGTCCAGCTTGTGGTGCTGTCTAGGAGGTGAATGAAAAGATTCCGTTAAATTGACAGAACCAGAGTTAAGAGCAACAGTTCTGACGGAGACTAGTCACTTGTATTAGAAACAAGACAAGTGTTGACAGATGGCTATCAAGGCAGCCCTTCACCTTTGGTGACTACTTTTTTAAGTCCACACGTTTTGGATAGAGGAGCACATTTGTGCTCTAAGAATTCTCGGGAATAGCTGGCGGAGCTGCATTCTACTTGAACCAATTCAGCTCATGTTCACATGAATTTGAACGCCAGTGCCCAAGAACCAGAGGATGCAACACCAGGTCAGCAACTCCCCGGCTCTTGCCCTTTCTCACGGGGCTGAGAGAGTCATGCAGAAACAGACAGCAGAAATCAGAAGGGCCTGTGACAGCTCCAAAGGCGCCCTCGTGGACCAGCACGTGAAGCCTCGGACTGCTCTCCGCAAGGCCGTTTGAACTCCTTGGGAGAAAGATGAGGCTCACAAACCCGAAGGGGCGTTCTACTCCGTCCTATGGGGTCGCTATGAGCTGGAATAGCATTTGGTGTTAACAACAGGTCTAATGAGCGCTGGTGGCTCAGTGGTTTAGGCCACCCCCCCACCCCCAACTTGACTGCTGTTTTCAATGCCCTCAGCTGCTCCATGGGAGAAAGATGTTACAGTCTGCTTCTGTGAAGGTCACAGTTTGGGCAGTCCCCCAGGGCAGTCCTACTCTGTCCTACAGACTCTCTGGGAGCTTGACTCCATTTTGCAGCAATGAGTCAACTGCGGCTAATACTGTGATATTGGTCCAAAGCCTGCTTTTCCAGCTGTACACTGTGGACAGTGTTCTTCAATAAATAAAACAGGCTCTTGGTCTTAGACCATCCACCCTTATGGAAGATTGGGGCCTGAAAAATTAAAGTGCAAATATCTATCTATCTATCTATCTATCTATCTAAAGATAGGTATATTATGGAAGAGATTTTCAAGCCCACTGGCACAGGAGAATGTCTTTCTGTGCATAGCAGGGGCCTCTGGGCCATCACACCTCTAAACCTCAGGCCACAGGCTGTTCCTTCAGGCTGTTCAGGGCAGCTGGGAGTTGAGAAGCGCTGGTTCCACTGATCCAGATGGTCTCTGCAGCCTCTAACTGGTCACTCCATAAAGCCCACTGCGGTATATTTAACATGGGCTATATGAGGTGTTGGGCTACTAACCACAAGGTCAGCAATTTGAAACTACTGGTTACTCCTTGGGGGAAAGGATGAGGCTTTCTGGTCCTATAATGATTCACAGTGTTAGAAACGCACAGAGACAGTCCTACTTGGGCCTACCAGGGTTGCTGTACGTTGAAATGAACTTGATGGCATTTCCCCCCAATGTCGGCATAAAAAAGCCCCATGCTCACCAGTGTTTTATAATCTCAGCCTAAAGTTTGTAGTCATCTTTTCCTTAGCTTAAGAATCTTCATTAATGCCCCCTTTCAAGAACTCTGGGAGGCAGATATAAGAACGAACAGGAGCAAAAATTTCTAGAGTCTAAAGTGTCTGGGGGCGTAAACAGTACTGCTATGGGCTCTAGCGGTACCCTGGGGAAAATACTAACTCAGTATCCTTATCTAGAAATGGGTATATCTCATGGTTCGTCTGGGAACCCCCCCCAGCCCCCACCTAAAATGTCACACCCATTTGCCACTATAGTTTCTGACCCATAGTGACCCCACAGGATGGATTATAATGGCTCTTCAAGATTCCCCAAATTGTAAATCTTTATGGTAGCAGAGAGCCTCATTTTTTCCTAGTTGGAGCCGGTGGGTTTGAACCACCAACCTTGGGGTTAGCAGCCCAAAACTTAAGCCACTACACCACAGGGCTTCTCCTTCTGGGGAAAGGGAGCTTTCAGTAAGTCCTTCACTCAATGTTGTTCCTTACACTTCAAAAACATATAATACTGCTCTGCTCATGTGCAGGAGCCCTGGCGATGCGGTGGGTTAGAACATCAAGCTAGCAATGGAAAGGCCAGCAGTTCCCGCCCAGCAGCTGCTGTGAGGGAGAAAGACATGGCAGTCGACTTCCCTAAAGATTTACAGCCTCGGACACCACCCAGAGCAGCTCTACTCGGTCACTCTGAGGTGGAACCACAGAGACGGCAGTGGGTTTTACAATAGCAAGTAGAAGGTTATAGAAAAACAGCCTGCCCCCACAACACCCCCATGGAATGTACTAGACAAAGCCGTGCTGCCTAGCCCCGTGTTTGACGGCCCCTCCCTTAGGGAACCTCGCTGGGCGCATGCAGGGGTGCTCCCGCTGGTAGTTTCTGTGGGACACCTTCACACCTGGAGCTGGAGGGTGCCCAGTGGGAGCCGCACGGAGGCCACACTTGAGCCCTGGATGGACACTGGGAGCAGCAGCTGAGCTGTCTGCGTGGTCAGCAAGGTCTGGGGCTGGGCGGCCATGGCAGGTGTCGGCTGTCCCTGAGTGCTCACATAAAACTGTGAGACAATGTCCTGTGGCTCCACTGGGGCCACAGGCAACTCTCGCTTGATAAACACGGCCTGTTTGGCAACAAGGGTCTGGCCTCCTGTGGCAGCGGGCTGGCCCGTGGAATGGCTGGTGACTGGGACGAGTGGCCTGGAGGTGGAGCAGTCTGGGAGCGAGGTCTCGTCCTTGACGGCAGAGCCCATGCTGCCGCCGAGGTGAGGGTCTAACTTCGGGGCAGAGTTCGCTGGCGTGTGGGGCAGGGCTTTGGGCGGCGGCCGCTGCTGTTGCTGCTGCCCTCGCTTTTCCACCTCGAGTTGCATCTTCAGCACTTCCACCAGCTTCTGCTCTTGCTCCAGTTTCCGCTTCAGCTCTTCAATCTGCTTCTCCTTCTCCTGAAGCTTGCGGTCCTTCTCAGCAGCATCTAGTTCCAGACAGGACATGGTGCTGCTGGTCGGGCTCATGCTGTCCTCTGTACTGGGGACTCTCGGGGGGGACGAGCACAAGAACTGTGAGGGAGACATCATGGTCATGATCTCCGTGAAGGTGTCTGTCATGTGTGTGTCATCCGTACTGAGGCTGGACTGCTCCGAGGGGGATGGCGAGATGGGCAGCGGGGAATGGGTGTTCTCGGCCTGGGCCGTGCCTCTGCTTCCTGGGCGTGGCAAGTCTGCTTTGAGCATGGAGCTGGAGCTGGTCACTGTGTTGGGGAGTGTTGTAGCTGGCAAGGCTGTGGTGACGTCTGGGTTACTAGTGACAATGGAAGGAGCAGACACTGCCACGATACTGCCTGTGGTGACCCCGCTGCTGTTGACTTCCTGGTAGGGCTTCAGGCGCTCGATGAGGTCCTGTTTGGTGCCCGACACTGGCAGGCCCCTTAACTTTAGTTCTGTCTTCAGTTCAGACACCTGGGAACAAAACCAACATATCAGCTCTTGATTTGGGGATTGAGGATTTATGACAAATATAAAGCAGACTTGTGTAATAACAAAAGTGCCCCTGCCTCTCAGCTAACCCTGTAGTGCGGCAGACCTGTAGGCGGGGTTGTTTAAAAAATCAAACATATATAAATTCACAGAAGGACAGACCTGCAGGGCCCAAGAGGCAAGTGATAAAGTCCAGCTTTCTAGAGGGCAATTCCTCTCTTATGGCAAGGAGAAAACGCACGACTGGGGTCGTGATGGCCACAGCGATATTTACTGGATAATTACTAGGGGCTTTGCACGTAGCTTCTCAAATTCACCTTCACAATGACCCCAAGGCTAGGTTTTATTATCATTGTCAGCATGTTTTACAGGAGAGTCAATTGAGCCACAGAATAGTTGCCCAAGGTAGCACAGAAAACAGAAGGCTGATCTGGGCTACAAACCCAGGAAGGCTGGCCCTGGAGCTCATCTGTTTGACGACTACATTTCCTGCTGCTCCCAAATCTGACAATGAGCAGAGGAGAAGCCACAACCTCTGGAGTCAAATAGCAGTGGCACAGTGCCTGGTGCACGGCACGGGCTCAATACGGACCGACTGCTTTAGAACAGACCTAATGGCTGGCATGCGAGCCTCTGTAATGGTTATCACATTTTGGGTAAAGATGAGTGTCTACTGAAAATGACCTACATCTACACAAAGCCAGCCGATCATTTCCATTTTGTGGTACATACTGGTGGATAAACTCGACGTGGAATCTCACCTTTAAGTCATCCAAGCTGGAAGGCAGCGGGCCTGGCTTTCTCACAGGAACAGGTGTGTTCTGTCTCAGTGTGTTGGGTGTGGGATTGTTCAAAGCTGAGTTCCCACCATTGTTATTTTTGTCACTGATTGACCTTTAAAAGAAAGAGAAATGAGAGTTTATAATCAACCATACCTGGATTCGCCACTGATTGCTGTTAGCCCATTTGACTGTTAATTATGAAGAGAAAAATGCCATGGTCATGGGTTGGAAGCTCAACATTGTAGAGATGCCAGTTAAACTAGATGACACTCCCCCGCCTCTCCCCACCGGTTCTGTCTGGTGGGAACTCAGAAGATAATGCTAAGCCTTGTACAGCAATGTAAATGGCCCATAATACCTGTGGCAAACTTGGTAAAGAAAGGGAAGCTGACAAAGTCGTGACCAGATATCACCATTTTACACAAAGCCACAGCAGTGAAGACAGTGTGGTGCTGATGGAAGGGCAGAAAAACAGACCGAATCCAGGAACCGACTCACAGATACATGGGCCCTGAAGTTACCGTGAAGACCGCACTGCAAGGACGGTCCTTCCACGTCACCATGGCGGCCAGCTAGGCCTTCCCAGGGGAAGATACCTCCTGAGGGATCCCTGCCTTTTATCACTCTCCAAAGGGCAAAAGGTAAATTCTAAAGCAGTACAGCTTTGAGAAGAAAACAAGACAGTACCTTCAAGGCCTCTGGAAAGGCCACCCACAGGACGCCCAAAAAAGCAGTGATTAAAAGAGACACTTGTAAGTCAGTGAAAGTCAAAACAAATGAAAAGAAGTCACTTATAATACTTATTTCTGACAAAGTGACAAAGGTCTCATGTCTACAATATACAAACAAGTCTTGCAAATGAGTAAAAATGCAAAGGTATAAAGACAAACCAATGGAAAAAGTGAGCTGGGGGCGTGAGCAGGTCCATCAGTCAATAACTATATGAACAAATACCCAGCCACATAAGATATGAGAACTCTGAGAACTAAAATAACAATAATGAACAACGGAAACAAAAAGCCCACACCAAAACAACAACAACAACAACAACAACAACAACAAAGCACCCGGCACACTCAGCACAACTGCTAAGGTCATTAATAGGAGGGGGAATACCAAGAACTTGGCGCTGGTGCAGGTGTAAATCGGTGCAGCTGCTTGGGAAATGGTCTAATGGTTTTAGGTAGACTACATAGGGTCCCTGGAGAAGGGCAGCATGCCTGGTAAGGTGGAAGGGGAGTACAACAGAAGGCCAGTAGAAAAGAGGAAGGACCTTGATAAGATGGATGGACACACTGGCTGCAACAATGGGTTCAAACAGAAGAACAATTGTGAGCCAGGGTAGGGTTTCCTTCTGTTGTCCCCAGGGTCGTTGTGAGTCAGAGCCAACGTGACGGCACCTCACAACAGCTGCAGGAGCTCTGGGGGTATGGTTGAGTAAGGCTGGAATGCTCACTGCCACGTTGGCAGTTTAAACCCATTAGCTGCTCTGAGAAAGAAAGGTGAGGCTTTCTGTTCCCATACAGTTATAGAGCCTCAATCCTTATAAGAGGGTTGCTATGATTGGGAATGGATTTGATGACAGCGGGTTGGCTTGGTATATAAAAATCGATCTGGCCTTTGACCCAGTAATTCCAGATGCCCAACAGAAAGACAAGCACATATGCCTCAAAAGGCACAGAGCCGAGTATTTATTGTACACAAAACCCACACCAAGCCTCTGAGTTGATTTTGACCTATAGTGACCCTACAGGACAAAGGAGAACTGGGGCTCCCTAGGCCTGCAAAGTGGTTGGTGGGCTTGAACCACCGATTTTGTGGTTTGCAGCCCAATGCTTAACCAACCACACTACCAAGAACCCATTTACTATACAGCATTATTCACAACAGCCTCAATTGGAAGTATCCTTGCTTCCCATCAGGAGTATGATGGATGGGGAAACAAGAATACAATGGAATCCTAAGGAGCAATATGAAATTAATGAGCTACAGCTATTGGCAACAGTGAAGAGGCATCTCGCAAACCAGGTTATACACAAGCAACCAGGGCCATCTTATGCCTGTTCCTATGAAGCTGACAGACTAATCTCTGGGGACAGAAGTCAGAAGATTGCTGAGGGGGTTTTTGGGGGAATGGTCTGCACCTTGATTTGGGTGGTGGTGACAGGGGTGTGTCCACATTGGAAGCAGTTTTCACTTACGGGTTATGTACTTTTCTAAGTACACAAATACTTCAATTTTTAAAAAGGCTGGTGAGTCCGTTGCCAAGCCTCTCCTTCACCTCATCTAACTTCCAATTCTGGGTAATGAGGACACTGGCTTTTCTGGGTACACATGATGGCTGATCCACTACGGCCAATTCCACTGTGGTTTCTGTTTGTCTCTACTCTGACTCCCACTTTCTGAAATAGGGATCTGAAACGACAACGCCTATGGGGTCAGAGCCACAGAGGGAGGAACTTTCTCAAACTGGGTTTTAGGAAGCCTGTGGTTTAAGGCGATTTGGACCTGCCAACAGCTAAGCTCAGACATGTTGTGTAAGCACTGGACTGATAACCACAAGGTCAGTGATTCAAACCCACGAGCTACTCCCTGGGAGGAAGACGGGGCTCGCTGTTCCTTACATCCCTAGAAACGCCATATGGGTTTGGATGGAAGTGGGGTTGGGAGGTAAGTTGTTGTGTTTTTAAAATAATTTTACTGGCATATATTTCACATGTTATACAATTTAATTGTTGAATTTATAAGAAGATTTGTGCATTCATCACAATTTCAGAACATTTTCTTCTTATACTCATTGATGTATTTATTTCCCCCAGTCTCCCGGCTATGCCCTTAGCTAATTATTATCCAGTTACTGTCTCTATAGATTTATCTAGGCTGGGTTTCATATACAGAAAACCATACAAAACACAACAGAAAGCAAGCAAACAAAACACCCCCCTCAAAAATGACCAGGTAAAACAAAAGATCTCAATTGAAAGCAAAGTGGAATACGTGGAAAACTGAAACAATTTTAAAATGGGTTAAAAGGGCGATCAAATGATATGACATTACATTTTAACCCAACTCCATCTGCCATATTCGACTGTACAGTGAGTGCTCTCTGTTTGACTGCGAGGCTACTCACATGGGAGGTCACTTGTTGAGGTTAAATACTTGAAACACTTGAAATGAAGTTTGAGGTTTAGATGAAATGACAAAATATTTTTGCACCACTATGCCCTTACAAATTCAATTTTTAAATTGTTGTGCTAGAGTTCTGAAAACATAGTATTTACATCCCCTCCCAACAAGTCTTTTTAAGACTTTTTCTTTTTCCTGAATCACCTTCCCCATGAAATTTTAATACCACAGACTTACTGAATGTGCATCTATTTATGTATTGCATTTTTATGTGGGTCTATGTTTTATGTGTAAACTAATTAAGACTGTTTCATTTTCCTCAAAATCAACTTTTGCCTCCTTAGGACCAAGATCATCCCCATTGAGAGTTCATGATTTCATTTCATCATCTAGTCATACTTTTTGAGAGTTTACAGTACTGTACTTGTTTCTAAGAAGGGCAATTCATTGTTTAATTTAGCCTTTAAAATAACAAAAACAAGTCAATGTGTCCTTCCCCGCGCCCCCAGGTCAATACAGTAAACACAGGTGAGTATGACTGCAATGCAGACGAGAACCTAAGGCTCAGAGAGATGAGGTCACCTTCCCGGCTCGGTCTTCCAGAGCTGAGTGGTGTCGCTGGGATGCCAGCCGCCCAGTCTTTCCTCCTGCCTGCTCATGCTACGGCACCAAACCAAAAACCACACCTGTTGCCGCAGAATTGATTCCATCTCCCAGGACCCTGGAGGACAGTGTAGAACTGACCCACAGGGTTTGCAAAACCGTAATCTTTAAGAAAGAAGACTGCTACTTTTTTTACCTCTCAGAGTGGCTGGTGGGTTTGAAGTGCTAAACCCTTAGTTCGGGGTCAAGTGCTTTAATCACTGTGCCACCAGGGCTCCAAAGGACACATGATACAGGTCATATTCCACTACTATGAGTTCTATAGGACTTCTGAATTCAGTTTTTTGTGATGGAGTTTCGGTGAAAATAAAACCACGTTAGGAAACAATGTCTCCGTTTTTAAGGGCCTGAAGACTGAATAGAACGCGAGGCGCTCCTTTTAAGTGTGGTGAAATAATATACAGGAGCAAGTGTTCTCTCCTCTTCCGGGCTCCTGGGTCTCTGTGGACGACTACAGCACCAGGGACCCTGGGTTCTTTAGGGTGGGTATTTCTGAGGAAGTGGGAAGAGTCGAAGACTGACTGGAAGGATAAATGACATGAAATGGGAGGATAAGAAACTCAGGGATGTTTCCCTAATTCTTTCCTTACAAGAAAAGATTCTTGAATAGATAGCTACCAGAAAAAATCCTTTTACGGAACTTTTAATTTCATCATTATCTCATCTATAAAAATCCCAAAGTAGGCCTGACGCCGCCCAGCCACTGGAAGCCCTGTAAGACGGAGGCTAGCGTCTTGACCGGAGCACACTGCCATGTCACTCTCCCATGAAGCGGCTGGTGGGTTTAACTGGGAGGCCACTGCACCACCAGGGCATTTCCTAATTTGTAAGATGAGGTCAACAATATCGGCTCCTCCTAGATCTACTATGAGGAGGAGGATGCCAAGTGTGCAGCACAGTGCTTGCTTGGTGCCTTGTAAGTAGCACATGCATGTGCGGGAGGCATCGATGATTACTGCTGCCCAATGGCAAAGACCACCTCCTTCCAAGGTTGCAGAACAAAACTGCAGAGCCAGGGGTCTTCCACTGACGCTTGTCCAGTTCTGGGCATCCCCTGGATTCCTTCCAACATCTATAGCTCACGCAAGTTGTTTTGCTCTTAAAATAATAGCATGTTACAAAATTATTCCTTTCTTGTTGATATGCCCTTTAGTTTTAGTTTTAATCACTTCACAATAAAGTCTGAATTACTGTTGTACTAACTGGTTTTATCTTTCTCTAGCTATCTGAATTATAAATGAAAACAAAATTGATTATCATTTTAATGTGAGCAGAGTTTATTTTTTAAACAGAGAAGCTTTTTAGCAAGTCTTTATCCTCCACCAAGGAGGTTCGGTGATGCAGCAGTTCGAAACCACCAGCTGCTTGGCAAGAGAAAGATGAGGCTTTCTACTCCCTTAATGGGTTATAATCCTGGAAACTTATACGGGCAGTTCTACTCTGTCCTACAGCATTGCTATGAGTCAGAATCAACTCGATCGTTGGCAGAGAGTTTGGCTGTAGTTTTTAATCTTCCATCAGAGTTCATGGTCATGAAAATGGTTCACACACACAGCTGATAACCAGCTGGTTAGAGGTTTGAGCCTATCCAGAAATGCCAAGAAAGCAAGCAATGGGCGTCGACTTCTGGAAAATCAGCCACTGAAAAGTCATGGAGCACAGCTCTATTCTGACACACACACAGCTGCCAAGGGTCAGAGGTGATGGGAAGGCAAGGGGCTTAAAAGAGGTATAGATTTTAATGGAATTGAAAGCTAATGGACTTTGCCCCACACTTCTTAAAGCCGTCTCATATAACATGGTCGACCCGAAAAGTGGACAAATCTGTCTTAGAAGTAAGGGAGGCGAGACTTGGTCTCAAGCACTGTAGACATACCATAAAGCAGAAGGACAACGGAAAGAGAAAGAGCCTCAGGAAGGTGGATTGACACAATGGCTGCAGCATGGCAATGGATGTGAGGCTGGCACAAGACCGGGCAGCGGCTTGCTCTGGAGTACACGGAACCACTGAGTCCCAAATGACATCTTTTTTACAGATGAATTCATATGCATGCCACTTTTCCCTGCAGATGGAGGCAGTGAAGGCCACAGAGTGTTTCCATTTTTATCTAGGTTTCCTAGAAAAAGCGTACTGGAGATATATTTCTACAAATTTCCTTCACTATATATTTAAAATTAGCCATGGATGTCTCGCTATAGAGATTGCTCAGAAATTATCAGGATTCATGCAAATAATTAGTTCATGCAAATGAACTGCCCTTTAGTTTGGACGAATGGACCACACAAATATTCGTCTTTACATCCCTGAGACAAAATGAACTCGATGGCTCCTAGACACCACTACTTCTCTAACGGGGCCACATCAGAAGGTCCTGGATCCAACGGAAGTAGAACATGAACCAAAAGTCAAGTTCATAAGAGACACAGGACTGGTGACCGGATGGATAATGAGGGACCTTCAAAACTGTGGGCCTTAATCCCCTTCAGGTCTGGAACTCCTCACCGCTGTGGTTCAATTTTCAGTCAAACAAGATAAGAGGAATCCGTCAGTTACTCACACCTTATAATAACCACTTAAATAAAAAGGTCAGTGTTTACCCAGGGACAAAATCGAAAAGGCTGAGGAAAGAAGGAAGGTGGAAATAGGAAAAACTGGACGAACATGGGCTAAATTGATGATCATCAAAAGGATTGTAATGAATGAAACAGAATGTGTGTGAATTGTTGACTGTAAAACTGATTATTTGCTCTGTAAATCTTCATTCAACAAGTAATCAAAATGTCAACAATGGGAAAAAAAAGTTTTCACGAATTCATTAAAGAGAGGAAAAAAAAAAATCAGAACTAGTCTTCTGGTCTCCCCTACTCTGCCATCACCGTTTGTGGCTCCCCATTGTGCCGGCTGTTGGTGGGTGAGACGCCTTCTTTTTGCAGAGCCGTCGGGCCAGGACCAAGACCTTCGGGGTTTTGAGATATCTATCCCTTCTTTTCTATTCCAGTCCTTTGAGTCGGTACGACTAGGTGGCAGTTTGTTTCTTTGTTTAGTTTTTAATCATCTCATTTTTAACAGACTGCAAAATTTATAGCCACTGTCCCTATTTCAGACTCCCTTTCAATGCCAGCGCCCAACTATTCTTTCTAGCATGCCAACGTCACAACTCCTGCCCTTGGAAGCACGCTACTATTGTCTATTGTACCAAGATAGACTCTTGTGCCCAACTTCAACTTCCTTCAGACAATGGGCCTACTTAAATTTGCTTTCCACTTTTCTTAAACAATAATCATATTCTTTATTCAAGCTCTCGGTCTCACCATCCTTCACCTGTACCTGCTCTTCTATTAATCTCCTTTGCTTGGAAGGACCACATCCCCAGTCCTTCCACACATGTAAATTCTGCCATTTAAAAACTTCTGCTTCTTGTGGGGAATCCAAGTTCTGAGAGTTAGATTGTTGTTGTAGACCCTCAACTTGATTGTAATTCATAGTGACCCTATAGGACAGAGGAGAACTGTGTAGCAGGGTTGCTAGGATGTAATCACCACAAAGGTGCTTATTTGTGTTATATTGACTATGCAAAGGCATTCGACTGTGTGGATCTTAACAAACTGGATGATCTTGAGAAGAATGGGATTTCTAGAACAATTAATTGTGCTCATGAAGAACCTGTGCATGGACCAAGAAGCAGTTGTTCACACAGAAAAAAGGTTACTGCATAGTTTAAAATCAGAAAAGGTATGTGTAGGGTTGTCTCCTCACACTATACTTATTCAATCTGTATGCTGACCAAAAAATTAGAGAAGTTGGATTACACCAAGAAGAACATGACATCAGGATTGGATGATGGCTTATTAACAACCTTTGATATGCAGACAACACAACGTTGCTTGCTGAGAGTGAGGAGAACACGAAACACTTGCTGATGGAAGGTCAAGGACCGCAGCTTTCAGTGTGGATCACAACTCAATGTAAAGAAAACCAAAATCCGCACAACTGGACCAATGGGCAACACATCATGATAAACTGAGAAAAGATGAAAGTTATCAAGGATTCTGTCTTGTTTAGATCCACAATCAATGTTCATGAAAGCCGCAGTCAAGAGATCAAACAATGCACTGCATTGGGTAAATGCACTGCACACAATCTCTTTAAAGTGTTGAAGAGCAAGGAAGTTACTTTGAGGACTAAGGTGCATCTGACCCATGCCATGATATTTTCAATCGCCTCATATGCATTTGAAAGTTGGACGCTGAATTAGGAAGACCAAAGAAGAATCAATGCATTTGAATTAGATGCTGGTAAAAATACTGACAAGTACCATGAGCTGCCAAAAGACCAAACAAATCTGTACAGCCAGAGTGTTCTTAGAAGCATGTGGTCAGGAGAGATCAGCTCCTGGAGAAGGCCATCATGCTTGCTGAAGGGGCTGCAACACGGGGCTCAGGCACTGGGATGACTGAATAGTGCGCAGGGCCGGGGGTGTTTTGTTCTGTTGTGCATAGGGTCGCAATGAGTTAGAACTAACTCGATGACACCCACAACAACACTGTACTCTTTTCTCCATCAGAACAGCTGGTGAATTCAAACCACTGACTTTCTGGTTGGTGGCCAAGTGCTTAACCAATGCACCACCAGGGGCCTTTTAAATTTTGCCCTTGTTGCTTTTCTCAGCCTGACCAGCTTTTATGCCCAATTTTCTTTTCTTTCTGCCTCGTCTGTCCCAAGTTGTATACTTCTTGTGTTGCTCTCATAGGACTGCTTTAATGACTCTCATAGGACCAAGTCTTTTTCTAGGTGTCTAGTGATGGGAAGTCCTTTCTCACTTGGAAAGTTCCGTTTATTTTGGTGGGCAGAAATAAGACAAGGAGGTGGGCTGTGCTCACTATGCTGACTGCAGGCATTCTAGGATGAGCCTTGATGGCTATCAAATGGGACGAACAGCTGAGTGCAAATAAACCACCCCAGCCGACCTTCAGACACCACCACAGGACACTCTACTTTATGAGACAGATGACCCCACCGTACTTGAGTGGTGCAGGCAGGATGGTCTGGTAGTTGTAGTGCTGCTGCTGCTGGCTCAGGATCTGCAGCTGCAGGAAGAGCTGCTGCTGCTGGAGCAGGCGAGCGTAGTTGGAATCCATCTGTGGCTCGTTCTTCTCACCTTTCTGATCTGGTGGAATGTACTGGTGGTACTTCAGCTTCTTGACCCGCGGTTTCGGGTCTTTGCACTTTTTGCTCCGGTGTTTGTCATTTGGGTTCTTGGGATGGCTTTGCTATTTGCAGAGAAGGAAGGAAGAACATTTTAGAAGGAGTCCTCACCTGGCAATCTATTTACCTGCACAATGCACTTTGGAGACGAGGAAGGCAATCAACTACATACATGGCGAGACCCAGGGCGGCATTTGCATGGTTACTCCGGCACTTGTTTGCCCTGCTGCTTTGTTCTTGGAGGATAAAGGGAGGGTGCTCGGCCCAGCCTTATCAATTCAAACCCAACACTTACTTGAGGTCTCCTGTGTGGATACACTGTGAGGTGCTTAACAAAACCAGGCCATACCCTAACTTCACAATAAAAGATGAAATAAGCGTCACCACAACTCTGCAATGCTTTAGAATCATCGAGAATCTAAGAAGAGTATGTGAAAACATGAGAATGCTTCTAATAAGAAACAAAAAGAAAGAGGTTGAATATAAAGCTACTACCTTATGGAAAACAACATAAGAATGAAAACATTACATGAAAAATTTGTTTATAAATTATCGAGTTCACGAGGAAGGGGAGGTGGGGAGGGAGGGGAGAAAATGAGCTGATACCAAGGGCTCAAGTAGAAAGAAACGTTTTGAGAATGATGATGGCAACAAATGTACAAACGTGCTTGACACATGGGTGTATGGATGGACTGTGATAAGAGCTGGACGAGCCCCCAATAGAATGATTAAAAAAAAATTTTTTTAAATCTTCAAAACAAAAAAAGAATGAAAACATTGGGTATTTCAAATATTTTTTAGAAATGCAACACATTGTCTTATATTTGGAAATAGGGTGTGAGATCATGTATTCCTCATTCGAAATGATGAATCAGATACTTTTTCCCCCTCCGTTCATTTTTTTCTTTTCTTTTTTTTTTTTTACATAGCTAGTTGTGTTTTATTGGACTGTACAACTTCAAAAGCGTCTTTGTGTATTGTTATTTTGTTAATTTTTTTCTTTGAATTTCATTAGCTTACTTGTCTGGCAGGTGCAGAAGCCTGGGGCAGGCCTGAGCTCTGCCAAGCCAACATACGACGTGTATTTAATAGCTGACCGTGCGCCCTCTCCCCTCTTGCTGCACCCATGTTGTCACTGAAGCCCCAGGAGTTATTTATTACCTGTTCTGTTAAAGTCAGGCTCACTGGGGGTAATGTGATGGCTGTTTAGGTTTACATGACCCTCCTCCCCGCCCCCAAATATGCATAAATACATATATGTATATATTTTACCTATATAAAATATATACACACATATGTGTATTGATAGTCAATTGTTTCTTAGTCTGCTAAAATTGGCCATAAAAGAGGGAGCTGCCTTCAGTATATGATGGTGTGAGATGAGCACCAGGGAACACCAGGAAGAAGGGGGCTTTTGAATCTGAATTTGGACCATTTTCACTAAATAAGGTGAATTTCCTTAGGCTTTCCTTTTAAGATAGAGTGGCCCAAACTCCTTCACGCACGGGCTCCGCAAGGCCAACGTTGGCCAGACTGCCACACAGGGACCCGGGGAGCTGATTCTGGCCCACACCTAGTTTCAGTAGTGGGGCCTCTTGTTGTTTTACAATTTAAAAAATATGTCCTTGAAAAGCTGTGCCGATTGCATGGTGGAGCTGAGGAGCCAGAAACAGAAGGTGGTCTCGGAACGGGAGCGCCTGCAGGCTGAGCTGGACCACTTACGGAAGTGCCTTGCGTTGCCGGCCATGCACTGGCCGAGGGGTTATTTTAAGGGATATCCAAGGTGACGGTTTCCCTTGCACTAGGTGAACCTATAGTATAGAAATGATATCTATTTTATTACCTGGAATATTTAATATTTTTCACTGGG